CAAGATCTCAAGTCTTGTCTAATCATTCTTACTTTTTCATTTGTGACCTATCAGTTTGATTTATGTGAGTTAATAGGTGAGAAAACATTGACTTCATTAATACATTTTTTATTTTATTTTTATATTAATACAGAAAATGAGAGAATATATAAAAAACCAACAGAAGAAAGGTAAATATATAAATGCATATAAGTAAAGAATTAAAGTATGATCATATGAAACAATATTGCTTAGACATTTTAATACATTAATAAAGAGCCAGTTCATAGCAGAAAGTAAACGTGTTGTCAATCCAAGATTATAAACCCAGAATGACATTGAAAAAGAATAATCATTTTTCTATGCCATCCTCAGTAAATCCAGTTCTTTATATAGATAAATTCCAAATTTTTGACAATATCACTCTTCTCCAAATCATTTATGGACATTAAACCAAAATGAAAAGGTAGTAAGGAAAGCCCACGTCATATATATAAATATTCCATTATTTTACACTTCCAGCATAAGAACGTGAACAACCAACTCTTTCTAAATACAAGGGGGGACCCAAAAAAAATCAGAATTCTCTCCTGGAGGGCGGGCCCCTTGTTATACAGGCTTCCCCTGCTAGGTGAGTGTTCTAGGAACCCATCTGCATCCGTGTACCAGCTGGGTTGTTGTGAGAGACTACGTTTGGCTTCAGTGAGTTTGTTTTTTAGAGACTCTTTCAACGCGTTTGCCTATTTCATGATGGGTGCCTCGCTTGCTCATGCTTGACTGTGTGCCATGCTTTGAAGGAGCAGTTGGAGGCTGACCCTGATTTTTTTTTGAAAGTCATAACCGGAGATGAATCTTGGTGCTACGCCTACGACCCTGAAACGAAAGAGCAATCCAGCCAATGGAAAACTGCCACATCCCCACAACCCAAAAAAGTTGGATGAAGTGAAGCTGAATGTGAAAACAATGATCATCTGTTTCTTTGATGTAAGAGGGACTGTGCACTCGGAATTTGTTCCTCTGGGTGAAACAGTCAACCAAAGTTTTCATCCGGAAGTTTTGAAAAGGTTGCGTCACGATTTGTGGAAGAAACGTCCCGAGTTGTGGCAAACAGGTAACTGATTCTTCCACCATGACAACGCACCTGCACACACCATGCTGAGTGTTCAGCAGTTTTTAATGAAAAACTGCATGACCCTTGTGCCCCACCCTATTCACCCAATCTCGCCCCGTGCGACTTTTTCTTGTTTCCTCAGATGAAAAAAGTTCTCAAAGGGAAATGTTTTGCCAATGTGAGGACTGTGAAACAAAAAAACTGTAGAAGTACTAAAAGGCATCAAAATCAACAAGTTCAAAATCTGTTTTAATCAGGGGAAAAAACATCTTGATACGTGTATTCCATCAAATGGAGAGTACTTTGAAGGTGACTGAAGTCTGAAGACGTGAAAATAAATACACGATTTTTTATAAATAAATTCCGGGTTTTTTTGGGTCCCCCCTCGTATTATGAGATATGCAACAAACATTGAAATCTTTTGTTGAATAAAGATCATAAGAAACATGCTTAGTATTCTTCTATGTAAAAATTTAATAAATAAATAATATCTTTATTATTATTCCAACTTTTTATTCCAAAGTTTTTACTGATATTAACCTTAATAATACTCTTTGTCTCTACAAATGTAGTTTTTAAATCACCCAAAATCCATTTGACTTCCTTAATCTTGCTAATCTAATAGTTCCTCACTTTATCGCTAGTTTAAAGTTCCTTTACATAGGTTATGAACAGAAGTTTAAGTTCCCATTACTTTTAATGCTGTTTGATGTGAGATGCACAAACACTTCTCCTTTAATGTATAGCACACACCAGTATCTGTTTGTGTTTCTTCCTCAAAATAACAGGGGATTCAATCTAGTCTGGATCCCTGCCATATGGAGACGAAGTATTAAATCCTTGGTCTCCTACTATGGTCTCTGTCCAAATTATAGCCCTACCGTCTGCATAAGAAAACAAATTTCCATTGAAGTTAATGTGCTAACTTTTGAGTAAGAAAAATGTAGCTCTGTGCTAGGTATAAACACTTATGTTGGGTTAATTCAGTCGTATCATATAGAACACCAACCAATCATAGACTATCAGAACAGAAAGAAGGAAACTCTCTGGGGAAAGTGATTTTCACATATTTATTATTGAGATTTAACTTATATAATTCTATAGCAATATTTTTAAATAGTTCCCTTTTGCCATGAAACATCTGTTTTTTCTTTTGAATATTCTCCTCCCATACAACCTAATCTGTGTAGGAAAGCCACACCAATATCAAATGTCACCTAGTTCTTACTTAAATGGAGCAGAGCAGACATAGCAGCTGTACCAGCTGACTTGGTTGACCCAGGAAAAGAATAAAAACAGTTTAATAATAAGTCATCAGGTGTAACTAAATACAGATCATTTTCATTAATGGAACAATTTCCCAAAATGCATTACATTAGTTTAACTCTTTCAGTTCCTCTATTAACAGATATCACCTATCTTCTATGTAATACACAGTTTACTTCAAGATATAACTAAAATATAATTGTTAAGTGCTTAGAACTACACTACCAAATCATGTTAGCCTACTGTAAGATCTATATATTAAGCTAAAAAGTGCTTTGGAGTTTCCAGTTTCAAAAGGCAGATCAAAAAGAATAAAAACAACAAGCTATTAATATAATTAGAGCGGAATATTCCATTCTACTTTTCCTAATTCCCATCTAAATACTATAATAGTAGTAAAAATAAGGACTATTACCCAAACCCCCAAAAGATACAGGAAACTATCATGATGAAGAGAGCAAGGAAGATGACCTTGATGAAAATATGCAGGAACCAATGCCTAGGCAAAAAGGGCTGAAACATTTTTTTAAGTCCAGAACAATGAGAAAATATTCAGAAGTGTCTCAGGCAGAAGCCTCCTTAAGTCACTGGAGTATGAGGAGGAGGAGGAGGAGGAGGAGGAGGAGGAGATTCTGTTATTATAGCCAAG